CGGTTGCTAAAGACGGAAACCTTCATGAACGACTCCTGATTCCGTTCCGATTTTTCATTGGCCTTATAAGCTTCAATCATGCGTTCACTGCGTTTCGTCATACTTAACGACAAAGGCCAACGAAAGTTACTCGCTTCATATTATTAACCTCTAGACCTAGAAAGAGAAACTGAGCATAGGGGATAGAAAGGAAGGAGCAAGTGGTAGAGTCCTAAAGGCGAAATCACCCCATTACGTTCCATACGAAATTACGTCCTTTATCATGCCGTTTTGTGCCCCGGGTGTAACCATGCATACACTTCGTTCCTTTGATCGTACTAGTTCATAATGAAAACGCACCGGACAGAAGGTCAACTTGCATTCAGAAAAGAGTAGAGCATGCATTTTGTTTCTCTTCACTCACCTTGTTTCGTTTCTTTACTTTAAAGTGAACTTTTTTGCCCTGAACCTGTCAGTCGTGTTTCCTGCTTTGCCTCCAAGTTTCATGAAGTGGTTTAGGGTTTAGGGTTGAGGGTACATAAAGTCAAAATCCAGCGTGCTTAATCTTTTTGCATCCTCACCAGTTCTGATGCTGACAAGAAAAAGCATGGTGTCGTGTCTCCTTCATGCAGGGCTCACATGGTGCCCACACCAGCACCAATCTGGCTCTCCAACACACGAAAACAGGATGTTCGGGGAAGGGAGGTTAACATATACGTCTGTGTGTACATATGTATACATATATATATATATATATATATATGTAGGTATGTATGTGGTGTATAATGTTAACAATGGTAAGCCAGTGTTAGCTCCCCAGCAAGAACTCAGGTGAAGGAAGCCGGGGTCTCCGTCGGCGGTCAACTGCAGCTTACAGCAGAGGCTTCCGGAACCGGATCCTTGGAGTGGAATTATGAAAAACTGATCTTCACCTTTCGGTCGCCCAGCGTCCAATTCCTCATCGGGGGACTCTACGTGACTATTGATGTGGAAGCACCAGTGAATGTGGGGTTCGAGGCCAAGTACGAGGGCAGTATCAAGATGCGCAAGATGATGACTGGCGGGCTGAACTTTGAGTACAGGTACCGGCCTCAAAGTGACAGTGACAGGGTCCATCAGCGCAGCTTCACACCCACCTTCACGGCTGAGTCGTCGGTGGAAGTTGAGTCGGGTGCCAGCATCACTTTGTACACGAAGGTTGCTCCAACTGTGTCGATTTGGAAGATCTTCTCGGTGTCGGTTCCCATGAAACCTTATCATCTGGCCGCCATGGACTTTCAAAAGCATCCCGGTGGTGTTTTTGTATGATGGTTCTTTCTTGTCGTGGATCGGAAATGTACACGGTTTCCCAGAAAAAAGCCTTTGCATTGAAGCAATCTATGCGCACTTGTGCACGTGTTGATGACGGTTTTTACAGGTTGCTCAGCTTGAGGGCTAGCTTGACGCAGGTCTCCTGACGACGACTGCTTCCTGAAGAAATACATCGGGCTAGATGTAGATCTCACCTTCCGGGCCAAGGGCATCGCAGAGGTGAACTTCCCGAATGTTCTGGCCAAGCAGTGGCCGTGGGAGCCGAGCCAGGCCGAATGTGAGGAGAGTCGGCGCTTGATGGATTCCCGCCCCCTCCGCGGGCTCACAACCACAAGCTTGGTGGGCCGAATGTGGCAGGGAACTGTGGAACCGATCCCCTGTGCTAACGGAGCGACCCCCGTCTACGGCAGTGGCGAAGTGCAGCTGCAGCTTGTGGAGGAGCGGGACGACGGCACGCAGGCTTCCTGATTGCATCCAGTGTTTGCTGCTGGCTTCATGGCTTGTAGCGTGGCACAATGCAATACACAGAATGCTTCGATCTGCTGGAATGTAGGGGCTGAGGCCCGCAGGCCCAGAGCCTTTTTCTAGTTTCTCCTTCTCTGCGGTATGGTAGCTGTATATGGCAGACGATGATACGTGGCCTCCGTGCCAGATACGAGCCCATCATTGCCTGGCACAGGTTCTGATGGGCGCCATCAACCTGGGTGCCGCCTCTTGGGGAGGCCGGTCTCTCCAAGGGGGTGGTCAATGCTCCATCACCGTGAAGTTCGTCTTCGATCCTATCTCGAGGATCCTTGCCCCAGATCCCAGCGAGGACCTCTGATGCTTGAGACATCTGTGACAATCGGGGCCCTCTCTCCATAGACTTCTCAGCTGCCCCGCTCGCGGAGTGTAGTGTACGAGCATGCTAGGCAGGCATTGCATAGCAGACAGGCGGGGCATAACCAGCGACGCAGGATTTCTTCGCCCGCTGCGGGGACCTGAACTTCTACGACCTCAGGTTTATCCTTGACGTCGCTGACCTCGGCACTTCCTTCACAGGGCAAACCTCGCCCAATCAGTGCAACTGGCTGGCTCTCAGCCAGATTGCACGTGTCACCGATGGCACCCTGGCGTAAGCTGGGAAATGTTGCCGACGCCCGACATTCCGAAGCGCAGAGTCTGCTGTACTTGGGTAGCAGTATAGGTAAGTAAGATACTGCTTGTAACTGTCGTCCTAAGACCGAGGCTAGGAAGCGTAGTGGGGGCAGCAGAAGAAGAGCACCAAAAGCAGACCAGGCAAGTTGCTGTTGCACGGTGCTTCATTGTTGTCTTGCAGCGTCCAAACTGTATCTGCGCCTGCCTGCATCAATTGTTTCGCAGAGCGCTTAAGACCCTTTAGTCAAAGACTGTCCTTTGCCGAGAAGAAGCTCTTTACGACCTAATGATTGCTCCTTTTCAGGGAGTGTTGGCCTGTGTTTGTGTGGGAGAATTGGGCTCCAATGCCCAATGAGCCGCACTGGCACATCTCCCGGGTTCGGAAATCATTGGGGGCCAGGTCTAGGTATATACGGATACAGCAGCACGCGCCCTGAAGTCGAATGAGATGTGTTGTGCCGCGTTTTTGGTCCAATCGGACCCTTGAAGTGTTTGAATCCGGGACTTCGCATTGACTGCCCTGGGGACCAGTACACGTCTTGTGTCATGGAGTTTCCCTGTAATTCAGGTCTTGACCACTGCCATGTTGGGGCTGTCCGATAAAACCGTCGGAGCGGCACCACTGTGTTCTCCCCTGACGCCTTCACTGAGACTGCGGACAATCCTACTTGCAAGAAAAGGCTTGTCAAGGAATTGATCCAGCTGATTGCAGGCCGAGACCCCACTTGCTTTGACCCCCTACCACTTCTTCCCTAAACCCTAAACCCTAATTTCTGAAGATTGTCTTGTCTTGCCTCGTCCCGCCATGGTCTGAACTTCACCAGCCTTGGACTCGACATTGCTAGAACAGGAATCCCCATTTGCTGCAAGTTGGGGTGTCTATGGGGACTTCTAAGTTTGGCATTGCCCGCAACAATTGTAGCCGTTTTCTTCCGACTGCCTCCTCATTGCTCCACCTCCGCACCAGCCGCAAGGACGACAAAGAGGTTTTGAAGAGCTGTTTTGTGTGTCTGCTTCGCATGTGCATCGGCTGCAGCGACAGACGACTGTGACGACGGCCATTGCGAGATTTCTGACGGCCTTGGCGATGGCTTCTATTATAGCTATGAGTTTGATGATGGCGGTACCATGTCAAACGTGGTTGACGACGGCTTTGCACTCCTCCAGCGCAAGCACCAGGGGAAGACGACCCTGGCCACAAATGCCCACAGATTCAGGCTCCCTGCAGTCTTCCCACGACTTCTGGCAAAGGTTCTCTCACCAGCCAGATGGTCCAGACTTCTGAACAACCTTAGTTCTACTCTTCCAAGCACCGTGTTCCTCCAAGATCGGTCACAACCAATCCAGTTCTAGACAAACCACTGCCCGGCTTCCACAGTGCCTTACAAGCTTGTGAACCAAATGTTTCCAAGCCTTAACAGTCCGGATCCGCCTCCTGCACACTGCACTCACTCAAAGTAGACTCGCGAGACGGAACGCTGTAGCTCTGCATGCTTCTTCTTTTTTTCTGACTCGCTTGCAGTAACCGCGTAGTGACCGCGTAGTGACCGCATAGTGACCGCGTAGTGACCGCGT